TATATATATATATATATATATATATATATATATATATATATATATATATATATATATATATATATATATATATATATATAATGTATATATAAATTTTAATTTATATTTTTTTTAATTTACTTCAAATTTAATTTATATATATATATACATATATGCTCTTGATGTTTGCTTTTGTTATTTTTCTTAAGATTTTTATGAATTAATCAAACTTTAATCAGTGAATTGATAAAATAACATATTTGATGGTGACATTATAAATTTCTTTTAGAACATTTTTTATATATTTATCAGGCATAATATGTCCTAATCCATCCTATTGTCATTTGAAAGTGTATATTTACGTAGAATGATTTTTCAATCTTCATTCGTACTATCTTCTGTACATAGATTTATCAATATAATTATCGATAAATTAATTAATAATAATTACCAGGTTATCAAGTAAAACTTAAAATATTCCCATATGTTATTATTCTACCAAAAACAAAATAGATAATAATGTTGAAATGATTACAGGATGAATTTTAGGGTAGAGGAATTTACATAAATTGAAATGATTTGAATGTATTTTTAATCTTTGTAAATTGCAGTAATTGGATCGATTTTGGCATATTCCTGATCCTGTTGGGTTTCTTTGTATGTGAACTATTAAGTATGATAACGTTAGCTATTTCCTTTCGGCGGAATAATTCTCGTTTTGTATTGCCACGATTAACATTACTTACCGGTCAATTTGCTGTAACAACATTCATTTCCGTTCTTTTAATCCTGTATTTTATGGGATTCACCGAGAAACTCAATGATGTTGTAATTGGTACATATGAGGTTGTAAGTTTGGCATTTTTCCTGATTTCTACTAAATTATCACGAAATTATTCAAAATTTCTACCGATTTATTTATTCATTGTCATGAATGGTTATCCATGATAATGATTAGATTGGATGATTATCCGTGACAATAATTAGATTGGATGTTTATCCGTGACAATGATTAGATTGGATGATTATCCGTGACAATGATTAGATTAGATGATTATCCATGATAATGATTAGATTGGATGATTATCCGTGACAATGATTAGATTGGATGATGATTATCTATGATAATGATTAGATCAGATGATTATCCATGATAATAATTAGATCAGATGACTATCCATGATAATGATTAGATCAGATGATTATCCATGATAATGATTAGATCAGATGATTATCCATGATAATAATTAGATCAGATGACTATCCATGATAATGATTAGATCAGATGATTATCCATGATAATGATTAGATCAGATGATTATCCGTGATAATGATTATATCGGCTTTTTCAAATATACACCAAATTATTTGTATCATATTGAGAGCTTTAAAATATTTGAAATTTGAAAAGAAAAAGCATCAAAGGTAGAAGTTGAACTTCATAAGATTAATAATCTAAAATTCCTAAAATTTTTTCATTATTTCAGTATTGGGCTAACGATAAATTGAATGAAGATGATCGTATCAGAGCTGTAAATGATTTGTTCATTTATGCGATTGGTACATTTGTTCTTATATCCATGTACACCATATATGAATTATTCGAGTTATACATCACCCGAAAATATCAAAATACTCTCGATACACCACCTGAATTTATACCTGTAAGGAATCAGGAACCACCAAGATTAGCTGGACCAAAATTAAGCATTACTCAACCTCAACATATCGCGCCACCACCTTACAATCCACAGTATCATTAATTCAAATCATTCTTCATGCACAACATCATCTTTCCTTTTGCTACCATCAATTGATTGACGGACGTTCAATTAACTTGTTTTGCTATCATTAATTGATTAATGGACGATCGATCAATCAAGAAGATCACTTTTTAGCGATACACCGATCAATAAACTTTTTCTCCAAAGTTTCATTCCGGAATACTTGAATTGTTTTTACGGAATATACGTGCACAATGAACATTACCCTTCTTTATAATTACTTTTAATCTTCTTTCTGTATTCACAAATGGGAAAAAAAAACTTGTTCGTAATATGATTTCCATTTCAAAATTTTTATTTCAAACTTTAAAACATAATAAGTAATATTTTGCAAATGACAAAATTTTAATTTGAAAAATCAAATTTAAATCCGAAAAAAGTAAAAGTTAAATTTTAATTTTTCTTTTCCGTTTTGTTATATTCCTCTCATCGGGAATATCTCAGTCTGACTGATTAATCAAATTGTTTATATCATTCATCACATCTGATTATATTAATCATCCTTGTAATGATTGAATCGATCGTCCAATTTTTTTTTTCTGTCACACTCATTTTCGTACAAATCGATTTTAAACGATCAAAAAAAAATTCGCTATAATTTTTCTTTTTTTTTTTGCAAATCAAATGTCCCTCTCTTTGCTATATTTACCTTTCTTTTTTTCATTTTTTTGATCATTTTAATTCATTTTACTTTTCTTTCTTTCTTTCTTTCTTTTTTTTGTCCCAAATTTCGCAAACTTTCACATTTGAACTTTTAGTATTTTTAAAAAAAACTCAATCGATTGTATATTTTCATTTGTTTTTTCATGATTTCTATCGAAATCCAAAATTTTACAAATTTTTAAATTTTTCAAAAAATCTTTTTTCTTATTTTTCGAAAATAAATAAAATTTTTAAAATAAAAATTATAGAAAAAAGAGAGAGAAAAAATGATTGAGAATAAAATATAAGTAAACAATAATCAAACAAATGGAATTGTTTTTTTATTTTTAATCAGTTTCGCTTTTTTCATTTGCCAAATTTCATTCCTTTTTTTTTAAATTTTTATTTTTATTATTTTCAAAGACTAAACTTAATTACTTTAAAATTATTCATTTATATTCCACATTAATTTTCAAATTAATTATTATTTTTATGTTAATCAAAGTGACTTTTTTTTCGAATATATCAGCCAATTTGTTTTTTTTTTAACTTTTTGAATAATATTGCAAAAAATAAAGTAAAATTTGTAATTCTTGTGATATTAGCAATAATTTGTCACATTGTTTTCCATTCCATTTGTTTACCTTTCATTCCTTTTACATTTATATTAAATATTTTACTAATAATTGATAACATTCTTTCTATATTATTTTTCTTCACTTTTTCGATACTCAATTATATGTGTATTTGATTAAAGTGTAACGTAACGTAATTATTTATGTATAAATGTATAGCCATGTAAATTTACTTTTCATTGGTGTTGTATATAATCTTTAGCTTATTTTATTCTGAAATAAATAAAGTTCAATATTTGTGTCGTATACAAATATGTGTATGTGTTGTGTGTGTGTGTGTGTGTGTATGTATGTGTGTATGTGTATGTATGTGTGTGTATATATGTGTATGTGTGTGTGTTGTACATTCTAAGTTTTGATTTGTTTGAAGTAAAAAATCCAAAGGATGTCAGGAATAATTGCATTAAAAGTGTTAATTAGTTGGAAGTATACAATTCTAATTAGCATTTTGAGGTAAGCATTGTTTACCTTTTGTATTCAATGAAATTATTGCAAAAATTTCCTCAACAAATAATTTATTATTTTTCTTTCTTTCATTTTTTTTCCAAAAATAATAATTTATTAGTAAAACTGAATTTTTCATAAATTATTACTTTAGGCTTAATTTTTTTCTTAGCTTTTTCATCGTTAAATAAAAATTTTTTTTTTAAGAGAAACAAAAACTTTCCTATCACTGACAATAGATCTAATCCAGCTAGTATTGCTATCATTAGTATCGATTGATAACAGTGCTATTTAAATCAAATCTATATTATCAGTGAAAAAATAAAAAACAAAAAAAGAAAAAGATATGAAGATGAAATAAACAGGGAAAAGAAAAATCCAATGAAGTAAAAATTTGCTTGATATATTTATTTATCATAAGCTAAAAAGTTATGTTTTATGAGTTC